GTGAGAATTATCTGGTACATTCACACTGCTCAGACTGGTTACTTGCGACTTGTGTGGAAGACCAAACACTTAATGAGAGAGTGCAAGAAAACACAGCAAATAAGGTAGTAAGATTTTTTTTTTTAAATCAGAAGCTTTACCAGCTGGATTTGAAATCCAAGGCCTGCTGATGCCCAGGTTCATGAACAGGAGACCCGTCACCTCCTGCAGCCAAAAACTCCCAGTCTAGCTTGGGTAGTGTAGATGTCCCAGCAGCACCATAACCTCACAATTCAATGGCAATCTTGTTTAACCAAAATTCTAGAATTCAAAGTGAGACGTAGAACACATTAAATGGCTGCAACATAAAAAGATCAAGTGTAAGGCTTATTATATCTTTTTATAATTCTAAGTGACACTTCTTTTAAGACAGTTTGTCTTTTTCAGGGCAGTTAGTCAGGCATGCAGTGCAAACTTCTGAATCTGCATATAGTGCTTTTACCTTTGCAGAACTGTACAAACACATTGTCTAACACTGAGAACCTTTCCATATGCATTTGGTGCCCTCAGTAGGTGTAGGAACTTGGACACAAGGAGCACAGCTTACTCAAGGTTGCCCTCTCTCACCTGTTCTGAATTCCTCTGGAAAGTCACCGCTTATCCAGAGATACACTCTTGCTTGTGCAGGCACATGGGTTTAGGTCTCTTTGGTCCGTTTTCCCGTTAACAGGGCCTGGAGATGTCACTATATCATATGGTTCTGCTTCAGGGCATTCTGGCTCCTCTGCTTTCTCCCACGATAAAAATCCTTGCTTCCTCTGCTTTGTCTTACCAAAGACACAGTTACATTCCTTCCAATATGCTGGAGAGAGTTTGGCATGCCATGTTCCTATCAAGTCCCTGTACTATCAGGGAGTGCCAGAAATGCTCAAAGGCATATACAAGTTTCTTTGTATTATTGCCTGGAGCAGCAATATTTATAAACTGGGAAGGCTGAGCAGAGTGGCAATGCACATGCCAAAACTTTGCATTAAAGACAATTCCAGAGGCAGAAATACTGGGTCTGCAAACTATTATCTGGGAATTTCCCATTTGCTTCCTCTTTTAGAGTTAGCCAGCGTTCATCAAAATCAATGAATTCTGGCTTTTCATAACTAAAGTTATAGTGAAGAGCTGATTGCATGCACCAGGTTGAAGAGCAACAGACGGAGTACTAAAGAGTCAGGTTTTAAATGTCCGTTCAATTGGTGACTTCTCCATCTTACACTTCATTGGTATAAAAGTAGTTTACTCTTCTGAACTTTCACAATGTAAACTTGACGTTTGTTTCTAAACAGACTTCCATGATCTTTATTTTATGCACATGCCAAAAGATACAGCCATAGTTTTAAATGTCATGCTCACCATCTTGAAAGTTGCAGGGGGGAGGGTGTTGGGTTTTTTCCTCCTCAAAAAAGTAGTTTAAGTCATCTTTGCTTGCATTAAGACAACTTTAAATTTTCATGTCACCACACTGTGTGGCTTTGGTGCTCCCAGAAAAAAAAAAAATCTTACCAGTTGTTGTATTGAGGAAACAGTGTAGTAAAGATACACTGAACTCAGCTATCCTGTTTTTTTCTCTGATTAAGCTTAGGAAACAGAAATTAAAGTAATTTTCAAAACAGAACCTTAAGAAAATGCTTCATATGTTACTTTTATGTCATTTGTTTACTGTCTGACTGGAAACACTATGAAGATTTTTTGTCCAGCTAAACACTTGACACATGGAATTGACTGAGTCCACTGGAAACAAGTGTTCATAATAAAACTTACACCACTCAAGGTGACATTGGTTAATGCAGAGATATAATTACAATGTACTGAAAAGAGTCTATTTTTGCTCAGGAACAGGCTTCTTGGCACTTAAAGTAGGAAGCTCTTTACTATGACTTCAGTAAGAACAGGCTTCTGAGACTCCATGCTTTTAGCTGACTATGTTAAGATCCGTTTTAAAGGGACTTTAAAAGAAAACCAGCGGCTGTGTGCTTCTCTGGCACAGTGCAAGTCCTACGCCTCTATGCCAGCCTGCCTGCTCTAAGTTTGCATAAACACCATGTAAAGGAAGATACCTTGCATTCAGTGGACTTACTACCGCAAAGCCAGTGCTGCCTGCTCAGCATGGATTTTGTCATTCAAGAACAGGATCCCTAGCAGTAAGACTGTGATTTCCATAATATACAGCATCTCACCCTTTGCACGGATTAGCAGTCTAGCTCTGGGAATATAGATGTCCACAGTGCTACGGTAGCAGGTGATCTGTAAATGTCACTAAAGCCTAAATGTTGGATACGACTTCTGATGTCTCTTTTATGAATTTTGCTTCAAACCTTTATTTACACAATACAAGATCCAGATCTGCCTCCTCTGAATTGAGTCAATATTATTCCAGTTTTACAGATGATGAAATGGAAATTCAGCCTCTGGAAAGACACAGAAATAGCACCTCAAATCCTTCCAGCCACTGCGAATAAGAGCTTTGTTTTAAACAATAGGATTCATATGTAGAGGAAACGTTATCTTAGTGGTCTCCAAAAAGAAACCATGTCCCTGAGGAGCAAACATCCTGTAATCATCCACAGCTGTTTTAAAACATTTTTAGTTGTGGTGATCAGGGCTGATTGCTTCATCCAAAAGAAAAGCGTCACTGAAAGTGAAATTTGGATAGTAACCAACTTTGTGCTGAAGGAATCACCAGCAGCTATAGGAGAAATTCAGCTTGTATGGTGTGCAGACTTAACGCATCTGAATAATGCAATGTGCTAGGCTCTGTTTAGTGGTAAGAGATGTCTGGATTCAATTTCAAAGGGCTCCTTCAGAAACGCTGACATTCATCTAGTTCTGCACCCAGAAACCAGGAAAATGCTGCTAACTGGGTAAACAAGCTGAGGTCTGCCCCTGCCCACCCACCCCTTACAAGGCATGAGTGTACACAGGGGCATTTGAAGAAGCAGAATTTGATGGATAAGAGAAATGCTGCAACAGAACACCAGCCTGTGAAGTCTAAACAATTAACAATAATGCTGAATGTAACAGAAACCGAAGAAAGGCTCCTCCCTCCTGCCTAAATCCTCTTTCCCACTGCTGACCAATTCTGCTTCTCAAGCTGCCTTGCTGGGCAGCTAACCTCCCCTACTCACCACTTGCTCTTGCACAATTCGTCCTGCCAGCTCTCTTCCTAACTGCTGCCAGATGGTCTCTCACCCCAAAGGGACACACAGGATCCGCAGTGCTGATGCCTACCCCAGTGAAGGTGACTACAGAGCTGCTTCTGGGCTGGGAAGCTCTCCCTCTTCTCTAGGCTGCTACTCCGTGGTCTCAGAGCTGCTTGCTGACTGGGGATGGCTCTTTGGTTCACTCCACAGGTCCACTCATTAGCTAGCAGCTGCTTTCTCTTGCTAACCAACCTAACTGCTCAGTGTCTGTCTGTCAGGTTACTTTTTTTTACTTCCCCTACTTTCCTCAGCAGAATCAGCACATAACAAAACCTGCATTAAATCTCTGGTACAAAAAAACCCAGCCAACCCAGACGCTGTGAATTTGTCAGAAGAGCCTTCTTCCTACTATTAGACATTGCTATTCGGTTAAGGTGAATCCTTCTCTGTCACCCTTCAAATGCACACAATAGGGAGAGGCTGGACACTGTTTCTTGCCTATGTACCTTCGAACACGAACACAGTCACTACATCCTCTAATTTTAAAATTCAGCAGTATATGTTTCTCTGCTTAAGAAGATATTGCAACTTTTTAATAACATGCAAATGAGGTCTAGTCCTCCAGGTAGACATTGTCACTTTTCTATAGTGGGCACCAACTGCCCTTCTGGCAGGTTTAATATGCACACACCTCACCAGAGCTACGCTGGCATGAGGAGCTGACCCACAAAGTGAGCAGGGCCTTGGGGCAAGGGGCTGCAGCCAGAGAAGAGCAGCAGTGAACCAAGGGGCGAGGGGGAGGAGAGGGAAGGGGAACACAGCTTCCCATGGCCCTGAACACCTTGATCCTGCCTGGAGCCTCCTCGGATCACCTCCAATGCCCAGCCTTGCCATGATCACCTTCTCCCAAGGATGCACATCCTCAGAATCGAGACTCATCCCTTGTTGATGCTTGTGATCCTGCCTTAGAACAGCTGCCTTGCTGTGTGCAGGGTAGTGGAAATATTCCGGCTCTGGAGCAGTATCGGAAGGCACTGTTAAACAGATGCATATTAAAAGGACTCCGCAATTTACACATGAAAGAGGATGTTTAGAAAGAGGTATTTGTAGGCATTTCACTCCTCAAGTCTGGTAACAAGCTTTTTGCCTTGTCTTTGGAACACTGTTAAAAACAGGTAAAAATAATTCTGTTGTTCAGGTTTGAGCTACACGTTCCCATTGGAGCTGGGAGAATGGCATCTCCAGTGGAGATGGTGGAGAATGGCATAGTCTATTAAACATAATTTTGTTGTGCTCTAAGACAGGAAATACTCTCAACAAATAATTCAATAGGATAAATTCCCATTCTCCTCTCGGCTTCTGCAGTCCGCTGCCATAAACCTATCTTTCCAGTTCCAGTATTTATACCAATGGAATCTGTGTCCTTACCTTGTCTTTACTGTCTCAACCTTAGCGTGAATTCTTCTCAGTCACACATGTGGACTGTGAGAACTCCCACGGAACAACTATTCTTGGTTTTGAAAGCTAGAAGACAGAATTATTTCAGCTGAAAAATAAATGTATTCACATAGTCCCAGAAATGGATCGCCATATGCAAACCCAGGAGTTTTTATTTTCAACTACAGCTGGTTTATTCTGTTTTCCCATTATATAGTAAGTGAACACAAACATTTCCCCAACATTACCACCAATGCTGGATGCCCAGGCACAGGAATTGGGCAAAAGAAAACTGGGCTTGAAAACTCAACCATTCCAAAAAAAGGATCTTTCCAGAAACGAATGTCTGGTCATCCTTGCCTCTCTTCTGGCATTACATATCCTAGGTGGCAGCACGACAAATACTGTTCTCTTTATTCATCTTCCATTTATATCTCCTTTTCCTTTGCAGTGCAGTTGCTCCGTGTGGCTTCACGAGTATTTAGCTGTGGTCCATGAGGGGTTTGAACTCTGCTATCTGGTCACATTCCTTTGGCATTCTCTTTGCTGCAACCTACACATACTTCCTCTTTCGCATAAACCATGGACTTAATTTGGAAAACAGACTTGCATTCCTTCAGCCTCCATTGTGGCTGAGCCTCCAGGGGTCTTGGGAGCGTAACCCTGTGCTGCTGAGAAAGCTCTGATGAGTGCAGCCAGGGTTCCTGTGTTACTTGTCCTTGCACAGCACACCTGTGCATGTACTCTTACACACATATGCATGCACCTTTGTCCTCTTTTGCTCTAGTAAAGAGTTCTCCACTCTGCTGCCTTCAGAGAGTAGATACACAGAGCAGCTTTTCTGCCTTCAGAATTTGTTACTCAGAGGAGTTCTGGGCAAACAAAAGATCCAGTGACATATTTTTTTGCTCTTCTTCAGACTGAATGAGCCGGTAGCCCAGCAAGTCCATCGCATCCTTGCACACATTTTGCACTTTTTCTATTTTCTGGAAGGGAAGGGTCTTCCTCCAGGCCTGGGATACTCTCAGCGCATCTCTGGACCCAATATCAAAGGCCTGTGCTCCTTGCCCCTTCCCATGGGTGATGTTGTGCACCCACTTCCGAAGTTCCGGTGTGAAATGGAGTTCTGCAAACCTGTACATCTGAGCAGCCCTTGCTAGCGGGTCTCTGACAATGTCTTCGTAGCGAACCAGCAGGTAGCGGTCTTTCAGGAAGCTGGGAATGGCCTGACGGCCTGCCTTGTAAATCTCAACATGGCTTTTGCAAATTACTTGCATTGTGTTGTAGGGCCCCATTTCTCCCTTCGTACTCTGGGACCCCACAACAATGTTACTGTCACGTTTCAGGTCTGCCACTGTATTCTCTCGGGACCTGAAAACAGCCCGAGGATCACGGACCAAGTGAATGATTTTGAGGTTCAGAGACGGATCAGTGAGAAGCGGGTAGAGAACTTTTAGGTCAAAGAATCGAACCTCCTTGATGGCAACATGGCTGTAGGTTTTACAAGCTTCCTCCACCTTGCTGAATGGGTACTTGCCACAGATTGTTCTGCAATTGCCTGCAGTGATTATGTCACTGCGACTGAATGAGTCGCAGGCAGGGGGGGAGCACAAGGCTCGGCTTGTCTCCCACTGAAATAAATCAGACTTTTTCTTCTGGCTAGACATGTAAGCATCAAACACTGACATGTCACACAGAAAGACCGACCTGACTAGGTCCCGCACTGCCATGTGCAAGACCTTCGCACTGTTCTGGTACATCGTAACCCACACGTGCCATGCGGGCTCCATCAGGTAGAAGACGCTGGGGTGCTGGCTGAAGATTTGTCCAGTGAAAGAAGATCCTGATCGCCAGGAGGAGAGAATGAGGATGTGGACTGGAGAAGGTTTTTCTTCCGTGGGGGCATTGTTGCTGCAGGGTAGGAAGTAGAAGTGGATCAGAAGGAAGGACAGAACTGCCAAAATCAGGAGCACCTGCACCCTTCTAGACTTCACCATGGTTGCAAGGGACCTGCAGAGACAGAGGAAATTCAGCATCACAGGATGATGAAGGTGGCAGGATGTGGTGCGTCAGGCTCCTGCCAATCCTGCAGGCTCAGGGTTTTGGAAAGCTGCCACACTACTAATGATACTGTCACAACCACAGCACAAGGGGTCTTTGGAAAGGACATAAATACTGCAGGACTGAAAGTTTTCTGTAACAAAAGGACTGTTTGTCAGTAAGCCATTCTAATGCAGTCTTAGAAGATCACTGAAAAGCTTGTCTGCACGTTTATCAAAGTTTAAAAGTTAGTTCAGTGTATTGAAGTAAGTCAGTACACACAAACGTGTACTAAGTGTACACAATCCCAGACATGATCCCAGCGATTTTTATGGAGGAAGGATGGAACAAACAGTTTTTGTGGAGAATTCAATAGTTCCACATTGTTACTTTTAAGCTCCTGCTCTGACCACCATTTACAATTTTTTTTATGCCAGAATACTGTAAAAATACAATGTAAGCTTCCATTTCCTTTGCTTATATTCTTTTCGGAATTTCAGAAAACATTTCATGTCATCACAGGCAAAAACTGACGTACCAAAGGAGGTCATTTGGCAGTGTAATAAAGCCAAGCACAACAGTATATCCTCCACAATCAGAGAGTCATAAGCAATTTTGCTAGAAAGGCTCATGAGGGTTTCTCTCATCCATCTTTGTGTAGGCAGGCTTACCTACAAGTAACCACTTTCTTAGCCTAACTCCTTTTTAAAGGCTGTGTCCTGCTACCCCTCCCTCCAACCCCATTCATCCTGTAGGTCTTTCATGATAAGAGGTACAACACAACGTGTTAGTCCAACTCAAAGGTCTGCCCAAAGCTGGCTCCTTGTTTCTCGCACTAAAGCTCTGTTCTGCCTGTTGAGGACAACTTCATTATTGGAAAATGTCCATTGCGCTGCCTGGGAACAAGTCATAGCCTGAGAGCCAGCTGTCACAGGAATCTGCAGGAAGTACACCGTCAGGGGTGGGATCTGAGGCAGGAAGGACGCTCTTAATTTTAAAAAAGTACATTGAAGCATGCTCTGCCAACTGCTCCTCTCTTGTGCACTCTCCTTCCCTCTGCCAGCCATGCCTGATTGTGCCTCAAATAGAGGTGGGTGCATGCAGCACTGGCTGCCCCTGGGGACCAGCTCCTCAGGTAGCACGTAAGTCCATATAGAGTGGTGTGCTCCCCTGTCACCACGTGCCAGGCTGGCAGGTTAGCTGTGCTGCAGTGAGACAGGCCTCTCTGGCCAGTGCAACTGCTTTACACTTCCCAAGGTGAACTAAAATAAAAAACCTTACTGGCTCTCAGTCATGGTCAGTCCGTCCAGGTGCTTCCACAGCCCGACAGGATAGAGAGAGCAGGGCCTTCCGGGCTGCAGGGCAAGCTGGAGGTCCTCCTGGACAGAGCAGCACTGGAGCCCAGGTCCTTACAGCTTTGTACACTGCTTTTGTGCAGCCCACGACCGCACTGAATTCAGGTAGCCATGCCCAAGCAGAGCAGCTGCCTCCCTGCTAAAGCAGCAAAGGTACAAAGCATGCCTGCCCCAGCTGGCCACAGTGCAGACGCTGCTTCCCCACTACGTGCTTACCGTGTTGTCTTCTGGGGCCACGCTAACGCGTGAATGTTCACAGTCAAAATTTCCCTAACCTCCTCCCTACGCGCCGCCTCAACATCCCTCTGCGGCAAGGTTTTCAGACTAATTTGTATGGAGGTGCCTCCTCCCACGATTTCAGTTCCTGTAGAACTGAAGTTTATATTTCCAGGTACAGTCGCTGCTGCTAACCAACTAGAACAGTATTCATCTTTCCCTCCAGCATATATGTATAAATTGGCTTGTTTATCTAATCTACCTGTTGTGCATTCGTTTTGAGCTTAGGGTTTATAAGGCAGCAATTATGATTTCTCAGAGCCAGGACAATACCCAGCCCCATGTGTAAGGTTGGTTGCTGCCAATAAGTGCTACCACAATATGAATTTTATTTTAGTAATGTCTTGCAAGGATGGGGCTGGGCATTTAGTGAGGGACCACATGCTTCTGGTCTCCTGGACAAGAAGTCCACTGATTTTTTTGGTTATAGAAGTGGAGTGTAGTGTTCAGGTCTGACAAGAAGCTGATTCAGGTCAACATTTGGAACAAGCCTAGGAAGAGCTGCAAACAAAGACTATTGTAAAAATAAGTCATATATCAGCTTCCTCCTTGCAAATGAATACAGCAGTGTTTACCAAAAGTCCTGGCTTCCAAATGAACTTTGATGATATCACTTCCATCTGGCACCATTAACATTGTTATTCTACCTCCCAACAGATTTTTCTGGACTATAGCCAGAAGCCCTTAATTGAGAAAAACTGTTGAGCAGACATGAACACTGGCATTAAGATACCCAGGCAGATTTAAAACCACAGAAATAATGTCCCTGGAAACCTGTGTGTGAATAGTCTGAGTCAAATAGAATCGATTCAGTTTTTTCGGGAAGCAAGGGCATGCTTTTATCTTGAATCAAACCAGGGTGGGATAGCTGGATGTTTTAGACATTTCACAGAGTATGCAGACCATCGCTGTGACTGCTCTTGGTAGAAATGGCCCCATGTGAGGCCACAGCCTCAACAGCTTCTTCACTCTTGTACAAGAAGTGGTGATGAGCGTTGCCGTGACCAGTCTGTCCCACGGGGAGGGGAGAAGGATTGAAATGAGGTGTGTGTGCCTGGTGAAGTGGAACAGAGGAGCAGCAAAGAGCAGGAGAGGTTCTATCACACATGTCCTAATATGAAAGAAATACTACATAACCTTATTTTTCATCACTGTATCTCTCGATCATGGCAGCTGGGATGTTTCTAAACTAAGGTCTTAAGCTTAACCACGTTTTCCATACAGCAAACATCCAGTGTCACAAGTGATTCAGTTCATTTCATATTGCAAAAGTGAAATATGAAGCCTTCACAGAGCTACAGAGTAAAGATCAGCTTAGAATCATTGAGACAATCTCAGCTGCAGAACAAAAAAAGGCACACTGTTACTGTCTGCTGGCAGAGAGATGAGCCACGATTTGGCTGAATGCAGAAAGAGCAGGAAGAATCTCAAGGCAGTAAGGATGAAGAACAGAAACTACCGAAAAACGTGACGATCCAGTGTCACCATGTTACAGTCTCCCACAGCACACATACAAGAACACAAAGAACTGCAATCTGCCTACCTGGGCAGCTAAAGTCTCCAAAAAAAATGAAGAGAGTTTTAAACTTTCCAGAAACACACAGGGCCCTTGGAAAAGCTTGATACTGGCAAAGAAAAAGTGTTACAGAAAGCAGCAAGCAGCTCGAGGGAGACATACCCACCAAACACACTCCAAGCATAGGTGGCATGTCCCCAGAGTACAGGTTTGTGGAATCTGTGTGTGTCTGAGCAGGGGGTGACACTACAGCCCAAAATACCTCGCGCTGCGCAGGCTGCGGCTGAGTGCTCTGCAAGGCTGGGGCAGCTCTCCAGACCTGTACAGATCCCTTACTGCTGTAGTGGCAGGAGTGTAGCAAAGGGGAGCTGGTACCAGGGAAGCCCCAGACACTGGTCTTTGATGGCACTGATGGTTGCTCATAGTCTTATCAAATTCTTCTTCAATTTGGCCTGATCAGCCTCTGCAGGATTAGAAGTAGCATCTGCCCATTCAGAGGAGAACAGATGGCCTGACTGTCGCTGGTGGCAAATGCTGAGAAGGGGCACCGAGAAGACAGTCTGGAGAGGCAGGAACTACCCTCTAAGCCAGACCAACAGCTTCTGTCTGCAGGAGGAATCATGTAGCAATCTACTGGCATCCGTATGTTTACAGTGTTTTACAAAAATTATTTCCCAGTTCAGGCTGCTAAGCATGAGCAGTGAATACAGTTCTGGGCACCAGAGCATCCACACCAGATACCAAGAAATGGTTGAAAATCTCACCTTAACAAATCCTCTTGAAGCATCACCAGACCTGGCTCAAGCAAAGTTGCCCTCACACACGTACACTGCTGTGGTACACACTCCTCCAGGCAGTTACACAAACAGCTGTGCGTTCATGTACTGGCACTCCACCTTCACACTGGGCTCTCATATACACCTGTACTCAGCTCTTACCTATACCTGTGCCTGCTCCCTCCTATCCCCTTCATTTGTGTATGTCCCAGCTCTAAGACTGACTACAGTGCCCGCCTACTTTGACCGGCCTGAAACTACAAAACTCCACCCTGCACTAAGCACAAAGCATGGGAATGGCACTTCCTTGCAGGGCCAGGAATGACCGAACACTGCTAGTAAAAGAGAAGGGCCGGGAAATTCATGAAGGAGACCGAGAGGTGCTTTTATGTTAAGGTCCATTGCAAGCCCCAAAAGAGACTGCTCTCCACAAAAGCAGGAACAGGGATGTCTGCGGAGCGTCAGAGCAAAGGACAAACAGGAATCCTTGTTGCAAGGAGGACCAGCTTGCCCACCAGGAGTGCGGAGATGAGGCACATTTGCCTACCATTGCTCTCCTGCTTGCCATTTTGTCAGCAGATGCAGATTCACATAAAGTCTTTTCACCACTTTTTCTGTCTGTGTCTTGCTTGAGTTAATATTTGGGGGCTGGGAAAGAAAATTGCGTGTAAGGAAAAGCTGTGAAAGGAGCAGCTGGACTTGGCCTGTTAATGATTCACAAGGGTGCTGGAGCAGCAATGGGGCTGTGCCAGGCAAGGTAGTGAAGCAGGGCAGTGCTGGGCTCAAGAGAAACGCATGGTATTCTGTGACCATGCAGAGACAATCACTTTGGGTCACTCCTATTCCAGGTCTCGTCGTTTCTGTCACACCATCTGGAGAGATGTAGACCTTCTTTTGTTGGTGTCCTTGTCCCCAAAGGATGTCACTGAGCTGCTCTGAGGGCAAGTGGAAGATAGGAGACAGCAGAAGCAAAAAATCTGGGCAAGGCTGGTCCTTCCCACAGGAGGGACAACGTGAATGGGGAAGGTCATGTT